CCTCCTGCTGGCCGGCCAGGACCACTCTTCTGCAATACTTCTTGTGGCTTTCTTGACTTTCAGGCCTGCCTGGATCCCAACGGAGGAGAGGCCGGCAGCGCCTGCAGCCCCTCATCCCCCTCTCTGCCCATCTGGTTGGTGCTGTCCATGGCACGGAGGGGGGGCAGCATCTCTGGGGCCCTTCCTCACACTTCGCTGTGAAAACGAGCCCCCCCCCCCCACCTCGCAGGCTCATTTCCTCCCAGGCTCCTCTTCAAAAGGTGAGTCTGAACGTCCTTTCTTTGAAAAAAAAATTGGGGGGGAGGGAAGGGGGAACAGCCAGGGACAGGCTGGGGGGGGTCACCCTGCTCTCTTTGTGGATTAAAGTACATTCAGAAAAGTTTTTTTTGGGGGGGTCTGCATCCAGTGGCAAGTCCCAGCTAGAGAAAATCTGTGGGACCAACAGCTGAATGATGACTTTTATAGAAACCCCGTGGTTTCTATGGGTCTGCTCTAGTTGACTTATTTGCTACATTTTTCTCTCGCCTTTCCTCCAATGAGCTCAGCTCCCATTCTCCTCCCTAGAGCCCTGTGAGGTAGGTCAGGCTGAACTGGCCCAAGGTCCACCTAGGGAGCAATTTGAACCCAGGTCCCCCTGACAAATCAATACTGCTGACAACTTGGGGCCAGCAATTGGGTTGTGGTGTGGGACTACAAACTCCAGCATCCCCATGCCAGCCTCGTCCTTGGGGTTAAGGAGTTCGATTCAGAGAACGGCAACCTCAAAATGTACCTTCTCTGCCCACGGAGGATATTTTCCTATCTGGCAAATTGTCCGGAGACCGTCTCTGCTCTGGACTGGCCAGTGACCTTTTGCGCTGCTCCCTCCTGGCTTCGGCAGGATTTTTAAAATGGCTTTTATTGGCTGCAAAGTGGACTGAGAAATGGGACAGAGAAAGAGGCTCTGTAAGCAAAGAAAAACAAAACAAAAACAAAAACAAAACCATCCACCCAAGTCCCTCTCCTCGGAAAGCCGTGAAGTTCTCTCCTCGGTCTTTGGCGAAACCTTGGCCAAGACAGACGAGAGGAGGTGCGTGCGAAGTTCAGCCAGTTGCCTCTTCTAAATACTTCTGATTTACTTCCACGTGGACAGCCCGGCCCGCTTTTCTCTGCCAAGCCCAGCAAGGTGACGGGCGATGTGCAAGCATATAAAGGGAAGGGAAGGGATTTGAAGCCAGGGTAAGATTTTAAACTTCAAAAGCACTTGAAAAAAGAAAGAAAAGGGCCATGGCATTCCAATGAGTAGGATTAGATGCTGTGGCTGATGGAGCCCCAGCCAAGAAAGAGTGGTTTTGACCACAGGAAAAGATGACATTGAAAACCTTTCCAAAGGACACAATCGGGGGGGGGGGGTTGTCCCACTGCGTGTCTCTGGGGTGCTGGGTCCATCACGGGGAGCTCAGAGGCTGGGGGGTGATAGTAGCACCACCCCCCACCACCACCCAAAAAAAGAGGAAAGTTCGAATTTCCACGTTCAGGCAGAGCCACTGCGGAGAAAGCCTTCTCTGCACACAGCCCATGAAACTGGCTCGTCTTAATGGATCCGCTAAGCGCTCTCTAGCTGTCCCGTGGAGGGTGACTCTGGAAGGGAGACTTGAGCAGGCTAGAACGGGCCTCCCACCCACCGCCCCAGTGCAAACAGGGGTGGAATCCCCTCTGGTGGACCTTTTGCTCGTCCGCTGGTCAACATTTGGGAGTCTGAGCTTTGGAGAGGACAACACCTGGCCGGTCCCCTGGCGGCTGCGTCCCTTGTCTGGAGTAAATGTTTCCTCCCATCAATANGCCCCCGCCATGCCCCCCCCCCCCGTTGGTTCTGGCTGGCTCGCTGGGCCCCCTTAGCCCAAAGGGTTGCTCTGGGGGGAGAGAGAGAGAGACACCAGTGGAAAGCCCACGGGCCACCTAAGGCCGCTCTGGCTCTCTCGGAGAGACCCGGCCCCTGCAGCGTGAGGAGAAAGAGGGTGTGGAGGGACAGTGAGAGGCCATGGTTTTTTGGGAAGCTGAGCAGCAGAACTTTGGGAAGAACGGACTGGGATGAACTGATGGCCTCCTTTGGAAGGATTTTTTTGGCTGGGAGTCTTATTTCCCCCCTCCCCCCCAAAACAAAAAGAAAGAAAGAAGTAAAAATTAAGTTTCCAAGCTCTGGCAGAGCCACCACTGACAAAGCCTCCTCTTTGCGGCCGGTGAATCTCCACCCGGCTTTCAATATTTACTCTTTGGCTCATCTTTCGGTACTAATCCTTCTTATAATGTCACCCCCGACTGTCTGTCTTGGAAGGTGCTGGAGGCCGGGCTGCCTCCCTTTCACAACAGGCCTGTGAGGCGGGCTCTAGACGGAGCGCCGCCAGGCAGGGCGTGCCTAGGAGAGCTGGATGAGGCCACGCCAGGTTCCCCGAGCCCCGGCCTGGCTCTCGCTCTCAAGGCCCCCCCCCCAAGATCCTTCGGCCTCCCAGCGGGGACAAGGGGAAGGGGGAGGCCAGAGCCTCCCTCTCTGGCAAGGCGGCCAAATGGCCTTCCTCGTGGCGTCCTTCTAGGAGGTCACCCGTCTCTGGACTGGCTTGGCCGCCCCCAGGGCAACCTGGCAGACCTCCTGCTCACAACGGGGCGCCTGGGCACCCTCCTTGCAGGGCCGTGGTGAGTGAGCACCCACTGGAGATGATTGGAGGAAAGAGGGGTTCCAAATACAACAGAGGGACCGACGGACAACCCCGCGGTCTGACACCCTTCTCTGACCCCCCCCGTGCCTGTCTCAGGAGAACAACTCCCATCATCCCTGCAGGCTCTCCTTATGTAGGGGGTGGAGGGGGTGGGCGGGCATGAAATCAGATGGAAGAGGAAGAGTGCCAGGCTTAACAACCCACCAGATATGTGGGGAGCACAGGGACCCCTCTTAAAACAGAGAGAGAGAGAGAGAGAAATCGCCAGGGTTGGCTTTGTTGGGGCCGCCCATGGTTAGGGAGGCAGGCAGGCGGCTGGCCGGGGTGTCTGCCTGAGAGGCAGACCAGGAGGGATGATGGAGGGCAGCCAGGGTCACTGCCTGACGGGCCAGCAGCCTCAGCTCTCCAGAGACCTAATGGCAGGGCAGCAGCATCGCCTGAGAGCCGGCCACTGCCTCCTCTTCCTGGGGTGCCGCATTAGCCCCCCCCCCGAATCAATTGGCCATTAAGCCTCCAAAGGGAGGCAGATGGCTGGGATCTCAAAATGGGCCAGATACACGGATCGTTACAGGGTGCGTCCCTCCCCAGCCCTTAGGCAAAATGTCCTTTTCTGTCGGTTACAACGGACGGACGGGCGCAGGGAGCCCGGAATGAATTCTGTAGCCTTCATCCAGGTGATGAAAGAGGGGCGGCCCCCGAAATCAGCCAGGGGAGCGAAAACGTCCACAAGGGGAGAGGGTGGGATCGGTGCCCATACACAGTGGCTGACCCACCAAAACCTTTTGCTGCCCGAGGCAGAGGGGGGGGAAACGGGTCCTTCCCCACCACTCCCCACCGATGTAAGTCCACCAAAACAAGCAGAGAAGCAACCTTTTAACTCTGGCAGCATCTCTGGGCACTCATGTGGGGGGGGGCATCGGAGGCGCCATGTGGCACAGAGCCCTTGCCACCCCCTCTCAGCATCTGCCGCCCAAGGCCGTTTGCCTCGCTCTAGGTAGCAGCCAGCCCAGCCCGAGTTCCTTTTCTTAAGAACGCCAGGGAGGCCCGAAGCGGTTGGGTGGCTGCCCAGGGGAGACGGAGGCCTTGCCCGTTCATGGTTCCCGGGTGGCCAAGAGGGAGACCCGGGAAACCCCCTCCCTCCCTGCCTGCCTGCCTGCCTGGAAGTTCCTTCTTCCTGGGGGATTCTGGGCTTTGTAATCCAAGACAGGGGTTCCTCTCCCACCCTCCCCAACAGACCTCTCAGGTGGATAACGGAAGGGGGGGATTGAGGGGGTTGGGCTCCTTCTGCCCCCTCCCCACCCACTCTGGCACCGGTGACAGAGGATTTTGCAGTGGGGGAGACAGTGGCTCAGTGGGTAGAGCAGGGGCTTTTGGGGGCAAGAGGAGGGCCCAGCTTCCATCCCATACTCTCCAGTTAAAGAGCCACCCGGGAGTGGAAGTTGGTTGTGCATCTTCACTTTGGGGGGGGGGACCCTCCAGTCCTCCAAGCCAGAGGTGCTCCCTCTTTGGATGGAGATGCCCTCTGCCCACCAGCGGTGACTCCGGGGTCCCTCCTGTCTTCAAGCCATCCTGAGGCCCGGGATCGATTGGATAAACCCACAGAATCCCCTCATCAAAATTACTAGAGCTTGGAAAAGATGATGATGATGGTGATGAGGATGATGTTCACACACCCTTAGTCAGTTTTTCCAGGCTCCGCAAACAATACAAACCCAAGTAGTGCTGCATGTGGAACAGTCTCTACTAACAATCCCGGCTTCAGACCGAGGGGGATTCGGAGGCCCCTGCGGCGGCTTGGCGAGGGCACTCTGCACATGGGCAGGGAGGCGAGGGAGAAGGGTTGATGCCCAGCGTTGGGGATCGTGGCCGCGGGGAAGGATCTGGAGGAAGTTGAGCCTGGCGCGGCTGGCATTTCGGAGGGCAGGAAAAAG